TCCATCACCACCTCCACCTCTTATCTCCTTCTCCATCACCATCTCCTCCTCTTCCTCCTCCACCATGACCACCTCCACTTCCTCCTCTACCTCCTCCTCTTCCTCCATCTCCACCTCCTTTACCTCCTCCTCCTCCTCCTCCACCATCTCCACCTCCTCCGCCTTCTCCTCTTTCTCCTCCACCATCTCCACCTCCTCCGCCTTCTCCTCTTCCTCCTCTTTCTTCTCTTCCTCCTCCACCTTTTCCTCCTCCTCCACTCTCTCCACCACCTCGTCTTCCTCCTCCACCTCCTCCTCTTTCTTTTCTTCCTCCTCCTCTACCATCTCTACCACCTCTACCTCCTCTTCCTCCTCCATCACCACTTCCACCTTCTCTTCCTTTCTTCTCTAGGAACCAACCCAGTACCAAGCCCTGGTCCCAGGCCAGTCCCTGCAGTGTCCCCTTCTCCATGGGGCCTGCTCCCCCACCAACACCTTCCCTATAGCCTCCATCCCCTCCAAGATGGAAGGGGCAGAATATTCTTGGAAGCCCCCCAGACTGCGCTTTGTCCTTGTGCATAGACCAGGCACGTCCGGCAGCAGGACACACATGCACTGCAGTGGCTAGTGAGGAAGTCAGTAGGGTGCACAGGAGCACTTCGTGTGGTTGGCTTCATTCAATTCATTGTACAGTGGCCAGTCCTTCACAAGAGCAAGAAAGGAGTGCAGTCCCCTTCTGGAAGCTTTTAGTTAAGCATTTGAAGGGGAGGCGGAGTCAGTGTAGGGAAGCTGGTCAGAGGAAAGCTGAAACGGCGCAGGTTTCCAGGTTCCATGCGTTTGCTGGTAGCATGGCGCTGTTCCTGACTTTACCTTCTTGAGGCACAGCAACCGTGCCAGCTGGGTTTGTTCTCCAGGACTGCCCTGCAGAGTGCGCAAGCCAGTGGTTAAAGTGACAGGAAGGGCTTTTCTCTCTTTGGAGACAATGTGCAGGGCAAATGCTTTCAGGGAGAACCAGCCCCAACCCCCTCCAGCTTTGGTGCTTGCCTGAGTCCTTGGTGTCATTGTCTTGTGACCTCCAGGCCATTTTGCTGCCCCCCCCCAACACCTCTAGGTGTCTCCAGGTGTCATCTGACCTCATCCTAATTTGTATCTGCAGATTGTTTCCAGATCAGGCCCCATTTACAGGCCCTGGGGCTCCTGTCCCAGCGTGCCTTTGGGGTGGGAACACAGTTCAACCCATAACACCAGTATTTGCAAATCTGGTTTTCCCCTTGCTCCTTGGATATGTGGGGAACAAGTTTGGGAAATGTGTGCTTCCAGTAGCCGGGCTGCGTTCAGGGAGCACCGTGTTCATCCCCCATTGTTGCAGATGTGGTTTTCTTTCCTCTCTCTCTTTAAGCTGGTTGGTTTTTTAAAATATCCTTAAGAGAATATTTCAGTTATCATGGAATATCCCACCTGCAGGAGATCGTATCCCACAGCCAACAGGCTCCGCAGGGTTCTGGAAACAACAACAGCTTTTGGCAGAAAATGGAACACTGGAGAATCCTGGATGGCGCGAGACGTCCCTGGGTTAAATGCAGCAGGCTCTGGGCTGGGATGTGTGTGAAAGCAGATTCAGTGGCAGTAGCTGTGAGGGACCTTGGAGGCTTCTTGGCTGTCTGCTCTGGACACTCCAGGACCCCGAGGAAACTGGCATCTAAGTTGCAAGAGGACTGCCCCACACACTGTCCCAAGAGCAGGACAAGAAGGCTGCAGTATGAGGAAAGTAGTGGCCAGTGACTTCCCAGCTGCAGGGCATGCGTGGCCCTGTGGGCGGCAGCCCTGGGGAACTTTACCCAGCATTCCCCTCACCACCACCACCCCGCCCCTGGATGTTTGTGTGGAAATCTGGCCCTCCCCTCCTAACAGGCCATCTCCCTAGAGTTAATTCCCCTTCTGAAGTCTTTTATGTAATGCTTTCTGGTGACCTTGACTCCAAGCAAAGTGTTGTATGTCACAGATGGACTTCTGTGAGATTCAGACAGAAGCAAAGGCAGCTCTGGTGGTTGGAGCCAGTGGCGTGGAAGTGGTCCCTGTGTGAGGCTCAGTGGAAGTGGAGTTTGCCTGACTACACCTTTCTGACCACCAGCATCTGATTTGGTTCTCTCTGAAGTACAGCGACAGAGATGCATGAAGGCGGCCACCACGTCCATGTGTCTCCCTGAGTGCCATCTCCCAAACCAAGCAAAGGCTTTGTCACACTTGTGGATCCCTGAGACCTGCTGTTAGAATCTTAGTCGTATCGCTTGAGCTGCAAGTGCAGGAAACCGGGCAGCCCAGGTTCCCCACTTATGGAACCTCCCTGCCCTGGCCAAGGCCTGCAGAAGTGTTTCAGAAAACTCGGACGATGTGTTCTCGGCTCTCCCTTGGCCCTCCGCTGCAGAGGAGCTCACTGTGCGGATCTCAGATTTAGATTCTTCCTCCAGCCCGCGTGGAGCGGGCGTCCCTGAGAGGACTGGCAGAGAAAGACCTTTCTCTCTCCTCCCCCTCCAGTCACTCGAGACTGGACAGCCAGAGACCCAGACTTCCGGAACTGTTGGGCAACTGTCCACATTCACAGTGGCCATGCAGTGCAGTAACACAATTTTCAGGACAAGCTGTGTGTTGGCAGCCCCTCCTCAGCCTGAGGTGAGGCCCACCCAGAATGAGCGTGTACCGCGTGGGACATGGCCCCTTTCCTAACATGCACTCTGTGGGCCGAGCACTGGCATGGAGATTGGGGTGCTCTTGCCTTGATGTTCTTCTGTGAAACGTATCCTGATGAATGGATGTGGGGAAGGAAGGGCGTGTTAGCACCAGGTGATGAGGACAGCGCAGTTCTGCCAGGCTGGTAGGCTTGTCAAGGTGCCCCTTGCTCCATGTGGCGGGAGACTGATGCTGAAGGACAGACAGTGAGTGGCTCCAGGCTTTGGTCCTGGCTGGAAGGAGTGTGGGACCTCTGTCCTTCATCTGGAAAGGGGCCCAGACTGAACAGAAGGGGGCGAATTGGAACCTGCAGGCTCCAGTGACTGTCATCAATGCTGCTGTGGTCCCATACTCCCCAAGTGACCCGCAGGCCAGGCTGGACAGCCACCCTGCAGCAGCTTAGAGAAGCAGGCTGTTGGTATCCGGGAAGCCAGTGGGCACCCAGCTAAGCCCCCGGGAGCAGGTCTTTCTATTGGTTAGAAAAGAACAGTCCTGGAGTGCAGAGCCCAAGGCGACATCCCTCGTGTGCCACACCCACTGAGAAGCTGGGGTGTAATCTCTACCTCTGAGCACCAGCCCTTGCTGTTCTGGCTGCAGCAAGCTCGTGCTGAGAGCCCAAGGAGCCTGGTGGCGTGCAGCAGGTGTGGTCCTGCAGTGCTGCCCTCCAGCCCCTCAGCCTTCTCAGCCCACTCAGACAGATGTGGCACTCTGTCCTTGCCAGGGTGACCAGGTGTGTGGTCCATGGTGTCTGATGAGGGCCCCTCCCTTCAGCAACACATCTCAGTGTGTGTTCTGTGGCGCAGCAGATGGGCCATGGACCTTCAGCTGCCACGAAGACCTCTGCGACCTCGCAGCTGGGTATTTAGCACAGAGCTCTGAACCCAAGGACTTGCCCAAAGCGCTGGTGCAGGACTACTTCCTGAGTGGGTACACTGTTTGCCAGGTGCTGTTTGAGGGTTCTCCCAGTGTGGATCGCTACATTCCAGAAAGATGGCTACTAATTTTACCCCATGCTTTACGTGGGAAAACAAGCTCAGAGTGAGTTTCAGTGAGCTCCCTGAGGTCAGACAAAGGCACCGGTTCTGGCCTGGCCTGTGAGCCGTGCATCCTCAGGAGCTTCTCTGCGGCCCGGCTACATTTCAGTGACATCTCGCGGAAAGGATCACACGTACAGTAAGGAGTGGGATAAGCCATGCTGAAGAGACAGGGAACTCAGCCAAGGGGCAGGAAAGGCTCCCTGAGAGCCATGACTTCCTGAGCGAGGTTTTGAAGAATCAGTAGGAGTTTACCAACTGTTGCAAGGCAGGGCATCCCAGGTGCGAGGGACAATGCAGTCTAAGGCAGTAGAGCTCTGAAAAGGTGGGGGGCTGGGAGAGCATTGACAGGTGACTGGAATGGCCTGGGGGGACATGGTGCCACGGAGCCTGGAAAGGCAGCCCTCGGAGCAGACTGTGCCATGCCAGGGAGCCGGACTTCATCTCAGGACGGGGGGGGGGGGGGGGGGCAGTGTCACAGCAGTTTTTAAGCAAGGTTGCAATCCCAAATCCTGATGCATTCAGTAGTAGTATTTCCTTTGCGGTTATTACGATTATTAAAGGAAATTATTTAAATTAGCTCCATGTACAATACATGCTGACCTTGTGCTTAAAAAGAATGTTTTAAAAATCTCTTCCACTCGTTTTCCTCCCCCCCCCCCACCCCAGAAGCCAGGACATTGGAGGGTTTTTGTGTTTTTTTAAAGTGGATTTTGATTGCATAAGAGCATCATGTAGAACTGTTTCCAGCAGTTTCTTACAGCAGGAATGGAAGTGAGGACTGATTATGTAATTGTTCCTTTCCATCTATTCTCAGAATCTAACATGTTGCCAGCATTAAAAAAAAAAAAAAAACACCCTAATGACCATTGTGGCATCTGAGAGTTTCCTGCTCACGGGCTGGGGCTATTGCATTGCGCTGTTACTACAGAGCAGAAAGCAGTGGTCTGAGCGTGTGCCGCACTGCCTGCTGGTCTTGCACGTGCAGCCTGCAGCCAGCACCGCTCCCGGGAGGAAGGGTGCGTGCACCGCTGGGGCTGCATGTGTTCCTATTTGGGCGAGGAGAGGCAGCAGACTGCTGCGGCGCCGAGGCTGTGATTTGCAAGGAGGGCAGAATACCATCTGGCGGAGGAGGTGGCGGGAGTATGCAAATAATGGCTGTGAATTCTGTGAATGCTTAATTGCTGTAGAAATTCTTTTTTTTTTCAGTCTCTGCATTCAGTGTGTTTGTTGTTTGTTTGTCTTTTTTTTACTTTTTAGAATAGTCCTTATCAGTGGCAGAAGATCCTTCTGTAGTATATTTTCCGTGCTGCCGTATCGCGACAGTACCCAAGCCGGGTATGTATATGCATGCATGCTTTGTGAGCGCTGGGTGAAAAGTTCAGATGCCAGTGTGCAGTGTGGCTTCCTTTTCCATGTTCATGAACTTGCCGGGCTTTGATGCTGCAAATTCAGTATTTGTGAATTTGAAAGAAAAGATATTCTGCTTTCTTTTCAGCCAGAAAAGCCTTGTTGCTCTGTGTGTGTGTGCACGCATGTATGTGTATATGTGTATGTATTTGTGCGTGTGTGTACAGTGTGTCCCCATCACACTGTCTGTTCTTGCTACATGTGTGTTCTGCCATCCTTCCTAATGCTGTAAGGCCAGAACAACCCAGGGCCCGCCAGTCCCCACAAGGTCATGACGACTTGGGGGAAAAGGTAGGTCAGAAAATGAACCTTGCACCTTGGGCTTGAGTTTGGAAACCGATCACCAAGTTGGAGCTGCCACCACACACAGGGCCAATATCAAAGCCAAGTGGCACCAGGATCACACATAGATTTAGCTACAGACCAGAGAAATGCACCCCTCTCCCAGTCAACCACCCCCCCTATGAAAAAAGTAATTGAGGGCTTGCCCTGGCGAAGTCCCCCCTCTGTGTCACTATCTCTGCAGCCTGTGTTCATTTCCTGTACTGCACCTAGGCCCTGGCTGCCCACCCTCATGTCACTGTACCCTGTTCTGTTCTGGACAATGAGGTAATGCCGGGACTCGGCTGACGGCTCCTTGTGCAGGATGTTGGGGCGTCACGGTCTTGGCTCTGGCCTCCATTCAAGAAAAGCTGGAAAGGCCCTCTGGTCATTGTGGCGACCACTGCAGCCCACTGCCCTGAGAAGGTGGCTCTGGCTGCTAACTTGTCATTTGTTCATCTTACCTCCTCCGTGAGCTCTGCCCTGACCATGCTGCTAGTTCATGGGCCTGTTAGATTTGTGGACTGAGCCATGAGCTTCACAGCAAGAAAGCAGCGTCTTTATTCATGGACCCTGATGCAGTCATCATTGGTTCGTGTGTGCCTTACTGAACACTGATAACCATGCTATGTGTTGAGCACCTACTTTGTGCTAGTTTGTTTTATCCTCTGGATCTGTATAAAAGCCACCAAAAAGACGTGCTCCAGGAAAAAAAAAAAAAAAAAAAAACACAAATGAAGAGCTCACGTGCTTAAGAACCAACTGGGGTGGCCTTTGGGTTGGCCTGGAGGACATCGTGGTGAAGCTGTCGTCACCTGGCCACCCTGCTGTGCCCCCAGCTGGTGGCACCTGTAGAGCAGGCATGTTTCCTGCGGGAAGGGCCTTATGTCAGCTCACTGACCCAGGTGTGGCCCAGCAGTGCAGCTCAGTCTGTTGCAAGCAGTGGTCTCAGCAGTACCTAGAATCTCAGAGTATGAGCAGCTGCAGGTGCCTTGCTGGGAGGGTCTGTGTCACCGTAGGCCACTCCTTACCAGCACCTGCCCTCCTAGCCAGGGCTTGATGGATCTGTGGAAGCTGCTTAAGCTCTCCAGGTTTCCTTGATGAGCTTTCAGGTTGAAATATTCTATCCTTAAAGGCACCATATTCATTCACTCGCTCACTCATTTTCAGTCCTTACCACGTGACCAGGTACTGGGGATGCAGGGTGTGAAGAATGAGCCTGGTTCTTCTCTTGAACTTAGAGCCTAACATGGGAGACACATACAGTTACACACAATTGCAGCTTTTAATAGATGTTCAAGGTATTCCAGCAGGCGGCTGCTGTGTCGCTAAGACAGTTCAGCTTTTCCATGATCCCATCTTTGAAGGGTTCATATTGGGTTCCTGTTTAGAGAGGCAATCTAACGTCGATATTCTGGGTCCTTCCAGGGTAGCGTGCAGTGCCCATGCTTGTTGTGTAGACCTTCAGGAGTTGCAGTCTGAAGCACGGCTTCAGGCCACGAGGGTTTGAACTCCTGTGTATCTGAAGTTTTTCATGTCCCTGACAGACAGGCCAGGCAGGTTCGGTATTTGGGACCTTCTCTAGGAAATGGGACATTCTGGAAGCTGGGTTCATAGCACACAGTGGACACAGGGTCCCAGCATGGTGTGGAGAGGGGTATGGCCAGCTGGGGAGGAAGGACTCGGCGGAGAGCCTCTGGTTGTCCAATTGGCCAAATCCCTCACCTTCTGGGAACTTCTGTTTGTTCTTCCATAGAATGAGGCAGGCAAATTGCCTGTCAGTTGATTATTTTGAATATGAAGAGATTTTCTGCAAAGCCAATTAGAATATGTTTGAATTAAAATTACAGAAAGAGCTCACCCCAACCATCCCTGTTGTGCATGTTTGGGATCCATATGGCTCTCCATGGTTTTCTTTCCTTTTTCCCCCCTTTTGTCTCCCCCTTTTGTCTCCCCCTTTCCTGGTCCTGTTCCTCCCCCCATCCTCTCCCCTCTTGTCCCTTCCCTTTCCCCTCTTCTCCTCCTCCCCTCCCCTTTTAGTATCAGGAATTTAGTACCAGGCTGACATCCCCAGTCCTTTATTATTTAATTTTAATTTTAAGACAGGGTCTTGCTAAGTTTCCAGCCTGGTGTGGACTTGCTGTCCTTCTGCCTCAGCCTACCAGAGTGCTGGGATTACACACAGGAACTATCATGTTTGGATGGTTCTTCACATTTTTTAATATCTCAAGGAAATGCTAGCTGGTAGCCAGCTGGGCTAGGAAAAGCTATGTGTCTATGTGTGGGTCCCCTGCTGCTGCTACTGGGAAGCCCCACTTGGAGAAAGCCCATCCCTCAGGACTTCAGGAGATTTGCCTGTGAGCCTTGGAAAAATGAATGGGAGCATTGTGAATATAATCTTTCTTGTGGTCAGGGTTTGCAAGGGAAACAATACAAAACACATAATTGTAGAATTATTTTATAGTAGTTACCCCAAACAATCAAGTACAAAACAGTGCAGGGAATCTGTTCACACACTAAAGACCAAAGACGCCAGCTGAGGGCCTGGATCCCATGGCAGTGTCCTGCATGAGTCTAGCTGAAGACCTAGGCCCATGGCAGTGCCTCACAAGTCCTGCCGCCAGAGGCCAAGCGCCCACCAGTGTCTCATGCAGGCCTGTTTGAAGGATCTGCACTGGGAAGGCCCAAAGGTCAGTGGTGCAAGCTAGGAAGCCAGCCAGTGGGACGAAGGATCTGTGCCAGCAGGTGGAGGGGTCTGACGCGGAACCAGGAAGCGACGCTGAAGGTAAGAACCGGAGCTCTCCGGAAGTACACAGCATTCTCAGCAGCAGTGAGGTCCCGAGCGCCTCTGAGGAGAGGACAGCAGCTGAGTTCCTGCCGGGCAAGCCAGCAGGACGGGCTCCTCCAGGAGAAGCGGCAGCCCCCCGTACACCCAGCACCGCGCTGGCTCCGCTCGGCTGGGCATTACCGGTTGCCCAGCAGTTGTCCATCCACCACAGCCTTTCACGGGTTGGAGAGGAACAGGCAAAAACCCGTGGCTCCTACCCGCTCTCTAAATGAGGAAAGCAGGTTGCAGAGAGATTCGTAAATGAAACGCGTTATCATACCTTGAGGTAGATAGGTAGGTTCCTTGAGAAGAGTACGTCTGTTTCTTGAGTATATTCTGTCTAAGCAGATAAGCTACAAACAGTTCAAAATGCTGTCTCTTTGCAGCAGGATGAAGACACATTCTTTTATAATAAGTAGACATCCTGTTCTTAATAATAGTCCATTTACCATGATTAAGGGTTTTTTAATTTAGGGGAAAATAACCATGCTCAAATAATTAAAAATATATCTGTAAAAGTGCTAGTTGATACAGTAACAAGTACCTGTAAATTTCAAGCTACCCTAGTTTGCATACAGGTTAACTAGTAAGTGTCAACTGTGGAAAATTCCTTTGGCTTTGGAGTGTACTCTGTGACTTACACACTCATCGGCGTTCCAGGCCAGAGTGTCAAAGGTTACCACTGTGTCCTTTCTGCTTGCAGCTGAGGCATGGGGCGGGGGGCAGCAGCACTCGCACTCAGAGCTCTGGGGCTTCTTGGTCCCTGTCCTATTATACTTGTGCGTGTGGAGCAGGCCACAGGTCCCTGGTTATTCCAGACAGGCACAACGCCCATGAAGGGGTGGTGTACAGTTCTGCCTCCTCATGGAAAGTCATAAAAACAGGTCACATAGAGGTTCCTCTGCATTCATCCTGGGAGGCCTGGACCAGGTTTCTCAGACCATCCCCGGTGGTTTTCTGTCTCCTCCTGCTTGGTGGCAGCTCCCTGCCTCACCTCCCACTGCAACCCTAAAGCTTTGCTCTTGGTTTGAACACACACACACTCTCCCCCCCTCCCCCT